ACTTTGTAGTCGCCCCTTGGCTATACCCTCTCTGAAGCGTGGGTAGGGGATGGGATGGGGGAGGGTAGGGAGGGAGAAGGGGAAGGAGTGGGAATGGGGATAGTTATGTAAAATGAGAAAAGATTGTATTTTAAAAATTCTTAATAAAAAAAGGAAAAAATTGCACTCTGGCTCGCCAAGATGGCTCCCATGAGTTGGATAAGGCCCAGCTGCTCTTTGCTGGACCGTGGTGACCAGGCCCCACCCACCCACCATAAAGTAGGACCCATAAACTGGCACTCACATGATCGACCAGCTGCCTCACAGAACAATTGGCCAGGGGAGTGGGGTCCAGAACATGGCAGGTGGTCTCCAGAGTGTCTAATTCCAACTCATACACTTCTCCGAAGGGCCGCTGTGAAGACGGAAGGAAGAGGTGAGCAACTTCTGGCACATCCAATGTGTCAGCTGGTATGAAGCCCTGGTGGAGCTTGGGGGAGGGTGAACTTTGGGAGTAGTGAGAAGAGGCCCCACTGGTCTCAAACCCCCCTCTCTCTCTGCACTGTGTCTTTGTTTTTTGCCTTCCACAGATGGAGCAGGTGAGAAATGGGGGCCGGAAGGTTGGGGGCTCGGACGGCTGTGCAAGCCCCCGTTCTTATTTGGAGCTCATTTACAGAGGTGCCGGGGTCTACTTTTTATTTTGAACAGCTTACTATCTTGCTGTGTCTTTTCTAGCCCTCATTCTGCCCCGTTCTTTCTTCTCTCTAGTTGTCCACGCTCTTCCTCGTCTCCTTTCGGTTTTCTTTCCCTTAGAGGATTCTCTTGGCTTTTCCCATTGTCTAGCTCATCAGCCCTTTGATGTATAGTGAGTTCCTGCTTCCTGCCTCTTTATTCTGAGGCCAGGAAGCTGTCACCACTAGTGTGGAAGCAATCTGGGACACCTGCGTGACCCTGTGAGGTTGTTCCGTTACTCTACCTGTTCACCTATCCCTCTTTTCACATCTTGAAATGTACCAAATTTTATAAAATCTCAGTCTGGCTTGGCTGACCTCTCACTTCAGCTCTGCCTGAGACCTCAGCACCACCAGGAGTAGAAGCACCAAGCTTCATGTGCAGGGATAGCTCAAACAACTCCCTGAAGACATTGAGCTTCCTGATCCACTTGGGAGTCCCAAGCAAAGCAGCCTTCAACCTCTGCATTTAGTGCACCATGCGTTCTCGTGGCTTTCCCTCCAATGTGTATACCGTGTGTTAATCTGTACATATCTGATCACTACACTCGTGTGCTCTTAAAATTATACAGTGTCCTTAAAATTCTCTCGCAAAAACCCTAGTCTCAAATCAGCTGTCCCTTGGTCATACTGGATATTGTTCCTCCGTCTGGGCATTCTGAGGGTTATTTTCCCTCCTAAATCCCAAGTCTCTTGTGACACAAACGTGTTCTTCCCATCTTTATGTTAAGCTGAACTGTATGGAATTTTCAACTTTTGTCAAAAGCAGCCAAATATTAGAGAGTTTATGGTTTCAATCCACCAGCACCCATAGCATCTGGCATCTGTTGTACAACAGCGTGGCTACCGTGCAGGCTGGAATGGGGGAAAGGGAGGTTTTAATGAAACGATCTATGTTTAAATGGCTGTCACACTTAAGCACTGGCCAAATGCCACTTCCAGTTTTCACCAGAGACAAACAGAAGCCAAGAAAGACAAGTGATCAGCAAATAGGAGCCCAAGTTTTCCCAGCAAGTCCCCCCTTCCACCTGTGGTCTGTGAACTACCGTTGAGTCCATTCTTCTTCCCACATGGAGCAACCTCTGTGAGATTCATGACTATAGTACCGATGTGGCCTCTCCTGCTCTCCCCTTCCCCTGCCCTGTTTCTGGGAAGAGACCAGTCTCTGTTACACTTTTATCTATCTGGGAAATGCTAGCCTTTGAGGCACTGGGTTGTACCCCAAACAGATTCTTTCAGCTCAGCCGTGAAAGGCTCACTTACCCGAGGCCACACCTTGACTTTGTCAACCTGATTCAAGGTGTGCTTGAACCCGCGTTGAAGATGTTGATTGAGGTAGTCCACAGCCGTCAAAGCCGCTTGCTCTGCGTCTGGGCTGTCACAGGCCACTTCGCTAAAGCCCAGTCCTGTAGCATGCGGAGCTGATTGACAGCCCCAGAGCTGGGCAAAACAAAGGAGCAGGACCAAGGACTTCATGGCTGCTCCAGAGAGGCTGTAGAAGATGGGTAGATATCAGGACTAGCCCAAATAATCAGCTCGGAGAGCTAGACCAACGGAGGGGCAGATGGCTTTATTTATCTGATAGAGCCTGCGGAAGGAATTGCATAAGGGCGTGGGATGAATTTTGTTCTGATTCCAAATCATCCCCACAAACAGCGGCCCTGGAAAAGCAAATAGGTTAGGACATCACTCATCCCCAGTAAGTCTGCCAAGGTCAACGCTGCTGTGGGGGAAGATGGTCCAAAGTCTGCCTGGAGCCCAGAGATAACAGCAGAGACAGGAGGCAGCTGAGGGATGAAACGGACATAGCCGGCCCAGAGTGCAACTGGGGTGGCAGCAGAGGGAGGCTCCTCTGCCCGAATATGAGAATGCTGTGACACCCAGGAGGGAGAGAAAAATCTGTAACAATCTGATAAGTCTAATAATGGTGGCGCTTGGTCCCTTGCGAGAAGCTTCCTGGAGGGAGAATAAGGTCCACATATATAGCAAAGACACAGGGAGCGTGGGAGACGATGGGGTCTTTGGTAAGAAGAATGAGGGTGAGAGGAAAGAGTTCTTATGACAGGGAGGGATATTACCAACACACTATGGATTCCTCCCTCCCCGTGCCCCTTCTTCCCGCAGACCTCACTACCAGGTCCTTCAGGGTCCTGCTTTGTGATTTCTGGGTGACCGTTTGGCACCAGCAGCACTCTGGTCCCAGGCAGGGCACACGTGCAGAGCAGTGGGGTTCCTGACTACTGTGAGCCCCTCATGTGACACAGCTCTGGAGTGGACTCCAGTATCCCAGGAAAGGGCTGTTATGAACACACTCGTCTGCCCTATGTTCTTTGCAGCTGCAATGCAATGACAGTGTATCTGGGGCTTTTGACAGTCCAGACGCGACCTCCAGGGAGTGTGGGCCGGACAGTGACATGTTTGAGAAATGTTGTGCAAGGGCCCAGAGCAAAGAAGCCTTCCCACGGAGACCATTTCATCAGTGTGTTGGGCCGGATTTGTCCTGTGATTTAATGTGGCTTCAAGCAGGTGGCGGGGGGGGGGGGAGTACTTTTTACAAAAGAAGAAAAAGAGAAAACTCCCGACGGAAATCTTAATGGCATCAACTTGTAGGAGACAGACTGGGCAGTGAGGGAGGGTAACAGGGCAGCGATGGTGACTGCGATGGCTTTTTTTACATTTGCTTCCAGCTGTGCACACATGTGCACTTCCAGCTGTGCACACATGCGCAGAACTGAATGGGGACTGTAGTTTCTCTTGGGGAGGGGTCCTAACTCTCAGAGACAGCTGGCTACTCAGCTGGCAGAGTCGGCTTCTCTTTAGCTGCGTACTGATCTTCTTTAGGGGCATGGCATAGGAGCTCTTTGAGAGGGCTTAACTTTCCTTTGAAAATACTTAATCTGGACATTACTGATTATTTGGAATCAGAAGTGCTTCATAAGTTACAGACTCGGGCACAGAAACCACAACTTTACCCTCCACAGGTCAACTGGATTTTTGACTTGGAACTACCTTGTTTTAAACCTAATCTGCTCTCGTTCACATTACCCAATGTTCAGACCTTTGGATGGAAACCCATTTTGGATAGTGTCACTTGTTCCCCACTGGGGTTAGAATTAGCCTGAAGTGAAAAGGGACAATTTATGGAAGTGCCTCATAAATCAAAGGCGGAAAGGGATGTACACCTCTGCTTGCTCTATAAGTGCCTATTCTTTGCCAGGTAATCTGCACCATCATTAGCCTGGGGTCTCTGCCTGTGAGCAAAATCTTCTTCTGATAGGATCTAGATCTCTTCCCAGAGATCTTGTCTCTGCTTTGACTCATAGCAAGAGAGCCCTCCCATCAACTCCAACTTGCTGGGGCTCCCTATCCCAGCCGTGAGAGCCTTCTCTCAATTCCCCCTTTAAACCTGGAGGTATGGGACTGCTTTGTTTGCATAGGGAATGGGGAGTTCTTGCTAACAGCCTTCATGCCTATCTGCCTGGACACCCCGAAGTCACAGTCCCTCCAACGTGCTGGTGTCAGCCTCTCAAGGGCATCTCTCAGTGCTGCACCTGTATGCCTGGGAAGAGATCTAGATCCTATCAGAAGATTTTGCATGGAAAAAAAAAAAACAAAGTGGCCATGCACCAAACAGTAACACTGTTGATAGCCTAAGATAACAGTTGACTCCCTGACCCCCAGTGATGCAGTGAAAGGAGGCAGAAGTTGCTCTTAACCACATGCCTCCCTTTCCTAGATCAAATAGAATATGTGGCCGTTTATTTTTTTCCATTTAGCATTGTAACATGCATATTAATTCACACCATCAACGACGAATGTTGCTCCATGCTATTAAAGAGACTTAAAAGCATGCTGGAAAGGACAACAGGCGAGTCTGTTGTGTGACTGTGGTGTTTTAATGACGTCTGTACACGTTTCCCCCTGAGCATTCCTGTCGCTGCGGGGCAACGGTGCTCTGTGCTCACACTAAATACAATGCGGTGTAGTAAAGCTTGCTGAGGGAAACGGGTTCTAAGTCTCAGGACTGCAGTTCCTAAGTAGTAGTAGGGTAGTAGGCAGAGAGTGAGAGAGAGAGAGAGAGAGAGAGAGAGAGAGAGAGAATATGGATGGGTGACTCAGAGCAATAAGGATGAATATAAATTCAAGGCCAGAGTTTTCAGGGCAGGCTCCTGCCAGGGCTCTCAGGATAGAAGGCTGGCACTAGGATGGGGTGAAGGACCCAGTGAGGTCAGGGCGATAGTTATAAATACAGCTTCTCACAAACCAGAGAAATAATGTGTGCATGCCAGCAAAAGCCAGAGAACTGATTGGCTGCCATGGGGAAGAAGAAGCCTCAGTGTTGGGTTTTAACAGCCCAGCTCCTTGACTCTGCCCTTTCTGGTTCTTAAGAGGCCAAAGCCCCGTGAAGCCAGGTACCTAACTTCTGATAATCCTGCTGTTCCTTCACGCCTATGTTCGAAGAGCATTTGGTGGGAGGTGGGTATCTACTACCTGTGAAGTTAGGTGCCAGGACACAGAGAGGAGAAGACATCACGTGTCCTGAGGCTCTCTCTCTCATCACACTGGACTCAGCAACATCTGATCTCCTAGAAACCGTAGATTATGGCACGAAGCCATCATGCTGTTAGCCCCGTTAGTCTGTGGAGTGAGCGTGGGTTTTAGGTCCTCGGCAGAAAACATCAACCAACAGGATGCCAGTTAGCCTGTCTCCCAGGGTGCATCAGGTATCTTAGGAAGGTAATTCTGCACTAGTTGCCCACTTATCTGAAGAACCGTTCACGCTCAGTGCCAGGGCACCACAGAGGCAGAAAGATGAAAGGCAGTGACCCGGTCCTAGTGATAACACTGTCTGGAGTTCTAAATCCAAAGAAGTTTCCATGAGAACATGCAAGGGAAGAGCAGGGCCAGACTGAGGTGGCGAGGAAGGCATGAAGGTGCCAGGTTTCAGGAGGTGCTACCCCTGAGGTTGCGCCCCCTTCAGTTCTGAGCAATAGGCTCTTTCTCCCTGTCTGGCCTTAGTGAAGGGGCAGGATATACACACAGAACAGTGAGAAAATTCTTTGGATCTCAACAGATCTCTCTTCTTTCTTCTGTTTCAAGGGACATTGTCTCTGCCGCCACCACTGCTGCTGTCCTTATCATTTGAGCCGGTGAGCCGAGCCCCAGGAACACCGTGATTCATGCTGTTGGTTGTATGTGACCCCAGAAAAATGACGGGAATCTTCCATTCTCTTTCGCCCAGAGGAAGGCCTTCTACTATGGGCTGCTACTCAGTGCGGCCTTGATGCCGATTAGATGCTCTGTCCCACAAAAACAGAAAACCAGTTTAGAGTCAAAGAAATGAGATGTGTGGCTGTTGAGGCTGCAATCTCACCTCCACAGGGAGCCAGCATCCTCGCATTTCTTGTCTAGGAGTTGCAGGAGAGCTGCACTGTTCCCACCCTCCCTTCCTTACTGCAAGAGAGCTGCACTGTTCCCACCCTCCCTTCCTTACTGCAAGAGAGCTGCACTGTTCCCAC